GTGAAGGATTGAAGGAAAGAGTTCATCTCGTGTATTAATGACGATTTGGAATGCCATACTAAAGGATATGAGAGAAATTTATACCTGCAGCATCGAGTTAGTCGCGGACTCTCCAAAATATGAAATGAAGTCAAATGGGGTGGATTGGCATAATCAGCAAATAGTTCTCCGGTCAATCACCGTACATACGTTCGTTCCAAAACCGGACGAGATAAGTCGAACACAAACGTAGACGCATTTACGCGAAAACAGAGGAAGCAAAATCGTGCATCAGTCTCAGCGCAAGCAGCGTATCAAGCCCCCCTTATTGGAGCCTTTCCTAAGCGTTAGAAGAAGCCACTAAGTTCTTTCGGCTGCCCATCTTCTCCCCTACGGCTACACGACTTCACCCTTTCCTAGAGCTGAATAACGAAGAAAGGTTGGGTTCGGGTACGCAAGTATAGAACTTTGGGATCGAGTCTTTTAAATAATGCTCAAGTATCGCTGGAGAGTTCCAGTGCATATCCCGAAGCGCCTTCGGCTCTCTCCGATCGAAAACGAGGCCCCGAAAGCCGGCATTCGTTTATTTTCGCGTAAATTCGGCTGCAGTAAACAGGCAAATTTTTTTCGTCAGTCATTTAGAAGAGACCCCGGTTGTAGAAACTCATATGTTGTATATAGTAAAGAGATCCAACAACAAAGATGGTGCAGCTTCGCAAGCTTGGTTGAGTTCGTGGCTAGTTCTGGACGGTATTGAATTCGACCCTATCGCTGCCCTGATATAGCCAGTTGTTCGAAGTATCAAGATGCTCGAGCATTTACTAGTAGTTTGCTGCCAAGTAGTTTGCCCCTATATTGCCATGTACATGTCAGCCATAAGCTTTTGTGCAATCACCTGACCAGTATCTCATCGTCTAGACGTCTTTTCAAGCTCGAAAGTCCTTCGCCTTCTCTAACACCTGGAGTGTCGCACTTTGTAGAAGGAAGAATGGGATTCAATATCTACTTACATACCTGAAAGATAACTCAAGTCGCCCAAATGTTTCAACTCCAATCTCCAGAGACGTTTTCCAATTTCAACCCATCTCCACCACCTCAGCCCCGCACGTATCGAAGAACCCATTGTGCTCACATGATCAGTATAAGCTCTCTTTATTAGCTTTGTTCCAGAAGGAAATCGGTTGAGTGGGGACCACGGTGTTTCGGTTTTCCCGAAATTCTTTCCGGACCAAGGCAGAAGCTGGACGTTGAGCAGCACGCAGCGTTCAGGCTATATATGAGAAGAAAGACCCACATATGGTATCTTTAGTCTGTGCCATACCCGATATGCCATTAACGACATTGCAATGATATCAAATCTTGAATACCGTAATCGAACATGAAACCTCTGCTGTGTAACGTCAAAGAGGAACCCGAGAGTCAGAGCTTTCCAATTATCATTGATGGATCCTTGGATGAGATCACCATTGATATCTATCGGTATGAGTTGAAACAGTAGTAGAATTTGGTTCGATTCGAGAGGGGTAGTCTGTTGAGATGACCGGAACTCCCATTTTTCGTTTGAAGGCTTTCGTAGCTTCCTGCACGATCATCGCATCATTTCTCGATTAGCATATTTCTCTTGATATAATAGAATTTTGACCCCAGTATTACTGTTCCTACTTTAGTTGCGAATAATACTGGTCACGCTTATACGAATGATGTTGGTTACTGCAAAGCCCGAGACGTCTGAAAATCGTGATATTAGCTATATAATCATTGATATATACAACGAGAGACGTCTTTGCAGAAGATTCTGACTGCGTTCGTAGGGATAGAAATATTTGCAAACGCCTGTCTCAAAGGAATTAGTCTTTTCAGCACCTTGAAATTAAAGCACCCCATAGTTCAATCTTCGTGCTAGAGTGGTGTAGTAATATCGTGTAAAAATCGTTCTTGATGCCATATTGTGGATTCGGCTTTGAAAATGACATATAGTTAGATTCGTGTCTCCAACTGCTTTTGTTATTGTCTCGTTAGCGATACGTCGGAAGCCCGTTTCGCATGAGTATAACTCGTTCTGGATCTCTATAGCCCTTTATGTCGTCTTCGATGTAGTTTCCCAATTTTAGTGACCAAATCGCAACAAGTGAAGTGACAAGAGAAGGATCCAAGGTCGGTATCGTTTACTGTCGAAAAAAGATCCTGTTTCAATCAATTGTAAGGTCATCATATTGATCATGTGCTGTCTGCTCCCTCAACCGTGCCAATATTGCGATGACAGATGAGTAGTTGTACAAACCTTTGAAAATAAATCTATTGCTTTACCTCCTTTTCTTGTATACGATCGATGTACTTCTGTCGCCTGTATAAAAACCAAGAATTGAGGAATTTTCGAGTGAAAACGCCATTTGGTCCTCCGTGTGTGTGTCTCTTTACAGCTTTTCGCCCCACCAATCTTTTTTGTTGTATCCCCAACCGCTGGCAATTCGTGAGGAATCGTTATTCGACTGAATATCTCGGAGGAAAAGATGATATTGTTGCTATATGATCATTCCAGGTCAGTAAAATGTTAGTACTCGCTAAATTCAGGGGCTCGATGCAATGGCTATTCGAGTCTTCTTTGTCAACTGCGATGTTAGCCACCGATGTTCTTTGAAAAAATTTGTTGTACATAATTGATGTTATTGATTTTTGGGGGTAGGTTGTCATGTTGAGACTCAAGTGGTCGTTCCTTCCACATGTGTTAGCGTATTCAAACTCAAGCGTATTTTTATTTTTTCCAAAACCCCCCCGCAACATCTCTATTCACTCAAGCAGGGTATAAATTAGATTAACTTCTGCTGTTACTGAGAGATAGTTTGAGGTTGTTAAAAACATAAGAGGTGGTTTATTGGATAGAGGTGCCTTTCTGTACCCAGCTGGCTGCAGATACGCTCGTCATGCTTCCGGCAGACACATTTTCCGTAAATAATTCACATGCAAAATATGACTTTTTCAATTCATATCTTAACTTTTAAATTTATCCATTCATGACAAATGATGTGGAAAAGTAATATTATCCTCTGGCTCGAGATGGGAGGAGGGAGCATGATAGAAAGAACATGAAGTATTCATTTTTACTTCGAGACAACCAAGAAGATCGAGTATAGTTCAGAGGAAATAATATCATCTTGATCCTTACATGAACGTCTGATTGCATGTGTTATCATAACTGCCATTGAGAGTAAATTTTGTTCAACATGTTCAAGATTACGTCTCTCATCTCACTATGCCCTCGTTCCTCATGCCCTACCTAGTTCTTCAGACCCTCTTAGTTTCCCACAATACCATCAAATCACCTTTGATTCCAACCAATAGTATTGATAGTGTATATCTATCATGAAGGATATCCGTCCATATCTACGCCAAGGGCACGATTGCTCATAGACATGCAACAAATGTCGCCGCGCTGCTACTTTCGTCATTAAGCAATACATCGGTGTCACCATCATCTAGTTCTTCATGTCACATGCACAAAGAATAATTGCCTCATCTACACCAAAGAGACTATTACCTATAAGAATGCAAAAACTCTTGTCATGCCGCTATTTCCGTCATTGAGAAATACATCGATGTCACCACCCATCTAGTTCTTCACATCACATGCATGAATTATACTTTTTAATCTGTCCTCCTCGTCGCCTATCACGCTATCCATCATATTGAGTTTCAAACTACACACACTCGCAAAGAGTTTTCTCCCAGCTCGTCAGAATTTTCCCAATATGATGTTACAAGATCTTCACTCTATGTTGCAATGACTCGATCATTCCTACTTCAGCGCTGAGCTACAAGACTAACAGCGATTTGCAAACGCACAAGTCCAGACAATTAGAGTTTCAGAATGTTGAAATTTCAGATCTGATAGACAAAAGCCGGAACATCTTACTATTTGAAGAGTTTTTGCCGAGCCGATATGTGAATCCCGATGATATCCTCTAATCACTGGGGATCTACGTGGTCTGAATCATGCGATGACTCGAACTTTTGCATCTTACTCGGTCAAACATGATTGGAGGGCGGCCTTAGGTTATTGCGTCTTTTGATACTCAAGGATAGTGGGAAGATACTCCAGTCAGCTTGGCTGTCCACTACCGGGTAGGATTGACAGATTGAATGGAAGATGTCAATGAGCAAAGGTATTACAAAATTTGAATTTGGGTCAATATTTCAAAGTGCTATATAATTTAATATGGGTATCATTCTTTACAGTAGCTCAGTATCTAACATGAGTTCAACAATTGAAACTGATTCAACCTCTGACCTGAGTTCAACAATCCAAAACAATACAATATATCAAAAGAACTGAGTTATTCAAATTAGTTCAACATTCTAAATCAGTACAATGTACCAAGACAACTGAGGTATCCAGATTAGTTCAATGTCCAAAGTGAAGCACGACATTCCAGACGATCCTAATAGTCAACTGGATCTAGATTCTGAAACGTAACGTCGTCTATATGCACGACATATCGTATAAACCCTATTCACTCTTATCTATCCTAAGTGGGAGCTGTGGGATGGCGGGGTCTTTCTCTACTTGATACGATTGGATCACCGATCAATCTCCACGCTATTTCTTCAATAGGAGATATACAATACTTCGCGGGGTACGTAAACTCGGATGCCCCTCGCTTGAAATTTCCCAAATGCCAACGCAGATTAAGCTTTGCCCCTAAATGATAGCTACTACGTACTCTATAGATGTTGTCAAAGAAGAAATTCATAGTGTTGTTCGACCCAAAGGAGAAAATACAAAATTTCCAGTCGAAATGGAAATCCAAAATCCATATATAAATACGGCTCTGAGTGTTCTATTAGAGATTTGATCCTCAGCTCCAATAATCTTCTTCTTCCTCTTCTCTTGATATAACTACCAATATCAACTTCTTTACCACTCTTCCATATAATTTATTAGATCAACTTTTGAATAATAAATTATCCCTTCGACAAATCACCTTCGCTTATTTCTTTCACCTACCACCATTGCAATTCATACAATGAAGAACTTTCGGGTCATCGGACCAGACGTTGTCGCTCCCGACAATCAGTGGCCGGTCATACCGCCCACTCCCGGCTTTGAGACTTTGGTCGAGAAGAAAGAGGAGGGGAGTATTCTTTACTTCCTTCCCGGGACGCATGTGGTCGTGCCTACGGGCACAGGGAGAATTTACCGACCAATCGAGGTCACTGGAGTGCGTCCAATGATGTGGAACCACCATACCCGGGAGGTTCTCATGCAACAGCCACTCCCCCTTCTTTACGGGGCTCCTTTGGCTGATTGCCTTATCGTGTCGATTCGGCCAGATGCAGAGTATGAGGAGCGCGAGGCTGCTGCTCGCCAGCAGGCCGAGCGCCGGGCTGCTTCTCGTCGGGAGACTAATCGTCGGGCTCTCGAGCGGGCTCGTGCACGCCAGGCTGCAGCTCAGGCTATTGCCACCGCTCCTCTCGCCGCTGCCTCTCCTGCCGTCGCTCGTCCTGCCGCTGCTCCTCTCGTCCCTGTCCCTGTCGCCGCTGTTCCTCTCGCCCCTGCTCCTCTCGCTCTTGTCCTTCCCGCCGCTGCTCCTTTCGTTCCTATCCCTGTCGCTGCTGCTCCTCTGGCTCCTGCTCCCGTCGCCGCTGCTCTTGTTGCTCCCGCGGATGATGCCCCTATGAGGCACGGTGCGCCTGTCATGGACGACTGGGAGTTTTGGAATCAGTTTATGACTGATGAAGTCATGGATGACTGGTGTCGGCAGGAGGCCGAGGCAAAGGGGCAAGAGATCCCAACCATATTCCTGGATTGAGAATCTTTCGATATCTGAGTCTTATTTAGACATTGGAAGATCCACTCTCGGGATCGCAGTTGGGTGGCAGATGGCGCCATCGCTCACACTACCAGCCATTGATATATAGACTGCTGGTAGCTGTTGCGATGGCGCTGTGTGACTCTGGCGTTGGCGCGGTTAATTCTGGTGTTATTCGTGTTGTTTTCGGTCCCGTCTCTCACACTACCAGCCATTGATATATAGACTGCTGGTAGCTGTTGCGATGGCGTTGTGGATTCTGGCGTTGGCATTTTTGATTTGGGTATTATGCTTATTCTTGATTTGTTTCTGTTTTTCTTCTTTGTCAATGAGCATGTTGAATATCCCTTAATTGTACTTTGTGGTGGAATTTCTTGTTTTCGCGAACCAAAACCAAAATCCTCATTTGAGGTAAATCAGCGATTCGTATTTTATTGATGTATAAGTTGTATTGCCTGTATTTAGATAGCTATTCATACCAAATTGAAACCAAAATTGAAACCAAATTGAATTTAAAGATTCTCAGTAATACAGCGACGTGAATGTTTTTCTCTCTTCGGGAATATTACCTGCTTCTTTTTGTATCAGACGACGGGGAGTTGACATCTTACCATGATTGAGAAGTTGAGATCCGTGAAGTGATAAAATTGCAACGAACTCATTCATGAATGAGATATAGATGGAAGTAACGATCGGTGAAAGCGGACAGCAGCAAGCACATTTGGCATTAAGATCCCATCACTGTCAAATCATTCTTCTGTGATCACAATACAAATACATATAAAACACCCTCACTGGACTTGGTGATGTCGGTAAGCTGATTGACCGCCCGGACAAAAATTGCAACTATTGATATCTAACCACCTACATAATGCCACAAAGTACTACGAGAAGCTCTCCGTCATAAAATGCCGTCAAAAATCTTCCAAATTCTTTTCAATAATCTTTATATCAGATGAATGTTATACGAGACCTTCATTACAGTACAATTCTTCTAGATTTACACAACTTGATTGATTGACCGAACCAATTCTCCGAATAACTTCAATTGATATTTCTCTGAAATTTATTCTTTTTGACTGCGTTTCAATCCCTTTTGATTCATGCGATTTATCGAGCTGAAGATAAGAATTCAAGTTTTCATTTGACTCCCGGACTGAGAGGAACTACTTACTATCTCTTTTCCGATTATCGTATCGAGGAAGGAGCAACCGGCATTCTTTCATTAGTGAAATAAGGCATTGCATAACTGATCGCAACGTTCTTCGTTATATCTGAAATCACAGCATGAAGACTCCAAAACTTCTTCCCAGATCGGTTCTTGTACATAAAATATAACAAGATGCATTGTCTCGAATCAGCACTGGCATATTTCTAGAGTCTGTCATCACTTAAGCCGTCCTATCTACATTCTCAAGACCATAAAGAAATCGCACAGCATACACTTTCTCAACTTTTAAATAACATCAAAGTTACTCATATCAATCAAAATGAAGTACGTCTATGTCTCTCCTTAAGATTTGGAGTAGAGCGCTGACATTGGCAGATCTACATATACACCGCCAGTTCACTCGGGAGAGATGATTTTCAACGCGAACCTTCCGGTCCTTAATTCGACACACTCTGCAAGGCAAGTCATATTGAAATTATTACAAATGCGATTTCGTCTTGTCAATCTTTTGCACCCTTCTTGGTAGCTCATATATTCCGTGCGAGATGGTTGAGGGAAAGGGGAGATCAAGCAGCAGTCAGTGAAGCAATTTCTATGTTGCTTCAGTCCCTATGTACCCTCTTCTCGAATCCATACCCAATTCTTGATCTGAAAAACAAAAGAGATTCATGTACTAAACTTGCACAGTGCTAGCTCGGGATCCATCCACTCGATTACTATTAAAGATGCCGCTCTCATATCAAACGACGACAAGAGAAATAATCAGCAGCAATCTATTACAAACATTGAACTATCAAGATCCTACGTCGTCAACAACATCTATCTACCTGAGAACATCGGCAATGGAGACAATAAACCTTCCAACATGTATCATGAGGGGCAAGCACAAAACAAAACTGGGTTCGATAGGATATATACGAGCCCCCAGGAGAATTCCTTTCATTATATACGCTGCCCTCTTCCAGATACCAGGAATCACCAAGCAGACGGTCATGATGATAAACTCGATCAATTCACGGAATTCTATTTCCCAAAGAGTCCTAATGCACCTTTGATGTTTGAAATTAAAGGTTGTCGTGAATACAAGACTCGAATCTTTCCTGATTTTACGGTACCGAGAACAAGCCATCAAAAAACGAAAGCTGTGTCTACGTCTTCTACGGCTATTTCCAAACTTCGACCTGATTTAGAACGCAGACGAAAGACATATATAGATGGAGCCACCGCTGTACACAGCGGTTCAGTCACCAAACTCAGACATACCTCCGTCCTCGGGTCCAGCAACTGGAATGAAACGCAAAAAGAGATCACTACCGTTCAGAACAACAAAAATATCGATTTTAGACGTGCCCGCATCTTCCAGTGTGATCATGCTACCGCTAAGATGGTAACTATGACACGTAGTGGTGGTTCTACCAAGCAAAATGGAAATAAAGCTCAACGCACGAAGTTACCTGATTTGGTATATGCCACATCTCTTACCCATACTTTACCCAGCATACGCAGATTCGTCAATGGTATACGAAAGCAAGATACAATGATGCTTGCACGTCATTCTGCTGTTCAGGATGAATCCAAAATCAAACATTCAATTTCCCAACTCCGTCCGTCTATCGATAATGAGTCAATCAATTACAGGTCTATATCTTTTATTGATCTTACCGGCCCCCTTGAGCCTGAATTTTTGCCAAGCCATCAAAGTCAGCAGCTATACGCGAACGATCCTAAACCATTGAAATTAGTGTCGACTGGTAATTCCCCCAAGAGAGAGAGCATATTGTAGACCTAAAATTAGATTCTCCCAGTCAAAAGAAACCATTCAAGGGGGCTCGGGTCACTAATAGTAAGAAAATTTGCTCGGCTCAAAGTCATTATAGCACTACCGCAACTTACGGACCTCATAATCAAAACTCCATTTCTCCGGAACCGAAATATTGTATGAGTTTGAATCCGATCAATCACATTGTTGTTTGTTCCAAAGATTCACCAGATAATTCAGACAGAATATACGAAATGAAAAAGTCAGCTGCGTTAGTATCAGACGATATCATGGCCTTGCTAAATATCAAAGTCGATGATGCCAACATCCACTCCGTACATCTCAAAGGTCATAAAATCGATTCACTAATTCCATCCCTAGGTAACACTAACAAGATGCACGGTTACTCTTCTAAAAGCGCTTTAGAATTCGTCTCTACCATTAGATCTGCGGTCATTGGTGATACTATACTCCTGGTGTCATTGGGCAATCATGGTATCTCCAACTCACCTCGTGCATGGGTGGATTTGAGAGAAAATTATCCAGCGTACAAGTTCTTGATTGCTATACAAGAACCTCGAAATCTAAATCTACATCGAGATCTCTTGTGGCATATAACCAAAAAACGAAGGTATTTGATTTTTCCCTTACATCAGCTTGTGCGAGTGTGCCTGGGGTTGGAAAGTCCATGCGACGAAGCAAAGGTATATTCTAAATACCTGACACTATCGAATGATGCGCGAAAAGCCCCGGCCAAACTAGAGATAATGATTGAAAATGGGGGTGGTGTCGGCCAGCACGCTCGAGCTTTATTATCACGCTGGGCATGTCCCATTGACGGCTGCGGGATGACTTGGTATAGAAGCCTAGCTGGAGATCAAGCATGGCAAAACCATTGTATGATGGAACACGACGGCTTTCGCAGACTTGTCTGTCCTCTGGCCGCCTGTAGATCCAATGCATTCCGTGATTACAAGGGGGTTGTTGAGCATATAGAAAATGTACACATCTCAGCGTTGGGTTTGGGAGACCATTTTCGTAGCTCGCACGATCGTGACAGAACTCTATCCGACTTTCGATATACTGAGGATGTTAGTGGATGTGGAAATTCACGTTGCAGCTATACAAATCAGCTTGCCTTGGATATCCATATGGAATTTTTTCATCCTTACTCCGCTTGGAAAGATCGTTTAAAAGATTTTCCGAGCCTTGCAGAACAAATACAAAACATGTGGTCAAAAGAAAATCTTGAACACAATAATGGGCCCACTCTAAGCGAAACTTTTCAATGTATTAATACGACGGTAGGTAGTCAAGGTACGGTTATAGTTGGACGAAACGGAATGAATCGAGGTCCATCCCATGACATGGAATTCCTCAAGAAATCTTGGTCTTTCATGGCAGATTTTCTGCAAACGACACAGGAACCTCTCCGAGAAGGATATCGGATACTTTTAAGCGAGATTCAATGAGACTTTGATGCAAGTAATTGCTGCCATGTATTTTTCTATTTAGTTATTTTAATATGAGATGAGATCTAGCATTGCTTATTAGTTATTGAATACACGAATGAATTCCCTGTGATGAAAGTCCTGACAACGATATTTCTTGTGCTATAGCTACGTGCTTGTGCGATCATGGCACATGACTGAATATACACAAGATGCAGTAAATTTCGAGATCGATCTGCCTGGCATTCACAAAATTTCTTGTTACCCAAGAAAGCTCAGCTCAAAGACTGAACACCCATAGTCATGACCGAGCGACATCAATTCAAATTATGCATAGCCGACTACACTATTCATACCACAGATCATAATCTCTTCAACTTCTCATCGGCAGTAACCTGGTGATTCTACTATAAATATACAATGAGATATGATGACATGTTCTTCACGACCCTGAGATAGACGTTGAATTTTTGAAGAGTAATAATTTAAACCTGCGTTGCACTAGGAATAGAGCAACACAGGGTAGAATGGAACTGAATCATACTATGCAGTACCGTTTATAGAGGAGTTTATTGACCTTGACCATCATACGCTGTGGGCTTATGAGACTCTTGATACTTTGATTTCTGGAATGGAGGATTTCGAGTGAGTGATTAATCGTGCTCGTGCTGTTTCGTTTGAGTGCTTGAGTGTTTTTATGAATCAGAAGTTTCTGAAGGGAGAATGGTGGTTGGGGGTACCTTTGAACTTTTATTCCTTTCGGATGGGATTTTCGAGTATGATTAAAAGACACTGGTGAGTGAATTTCCTCAATAAATTATTCACATTCGTATTCAGTCCCTCCATCAAGTACGCGCGAGCAATTGTCTTTGTCATAATCACCGAGGTGGGTTAGGGAAATGAACATTGTAGAGGCTTCTTTGTTCATTTTCTTTCTCTCCCCTCTTTCTAGTACTTAGCTTTTGAGTTTTCAACATAATAAGATAGGTATGTAGGTATGTAGGTATGAAGAAGAAAGAAAAATAATCCAGGATGGCGATCGTGTGCGTAACAAGGTTTCTTTGTTCTTCCGTGATACAAAATCGATTACCTTTTTGCTCGTTAGTATTTTTCGGAAAGGAGAAAGTAAAGTTGTACATACGTTTCGAAACCCATGAACACACTGAGAGTATTCATAAAGCAATAATAGGATTATTTAACTGGAGTTGAGGTTTGAAAAGTACAGTCAGCTACCCAGAGAGTGAATATTAGAATACGTAGGTATTCATTATTCACGATCTGTGAGTCGAAGTTATTGGGTGTAGTGGGTAGCATTGGGAATACAAGTGTTGGGAATAACGGGTTGGATTGTTGGATTGTTTGAGTGTAGGAGTACGATATCGGTGCTGCGAAGTTATTACTGGGAGTTTGTTGTTACTTCGATTTACTACTCCGAATTTACTACTGCGATTTTACTACTACGAATTTACCATTACAAACATCATTTCATCTCCACCCATTCCGCCATTCCGCCAAACCCCAAACCCCAGACCGCAAACCAACCTCCCAACCCGAAAAAATGTGCACAGAATGGGCCTGGGAATACAAGTGCGGACACCAGAAACCCGAGTCCGACGCGGTGACAATGAGGCAGAATGATAATTGCCGGGATAATCTCCCGGAATTTTCAAGAGAGTGTCGGTTTTATAGTATGGAGTATACGAGGTTTCAGGAGTTGTGTCCGGAGTGTGAGGAGGTGAGGGAGGAGAAGGAGAGGGTGAGGGAGGAGAAGAAGAGGAGGAAGGAGGAGAGGAATGGAGAAAAGGGGGGATGAGAGAGAGGATTGATAGGTGGTGTGGGGGGCGGGGTAAGAAGGGGGGAATGGTGATAGTGATGGATAGGTTGGAGTAGAGGGATTCTTAGGATAAGGATTTGAGAGGAATGAATACGATAGGTATCGAATTGAAACAAGAGTGAGCGGGAAATGCAGATCTGAGGCGAAGATAAGAGGAGGCAAAGGCTTGGTGTGATGATATCTTAAGGACAAATAATGATATGGGTAGATGGTTTGAAGGGAAGGTTCAGATAGGATGATGTAGTGAGATTTAATGTCATCGTGATTTTTTTTAATTGGCGATCTTGAGGAAATTGGAAGCGAAAAGGGGGAAAGTTTACAAGTAGGAGTATCTGGCGGTGGATCGTGACGAAAAAAGATGAGCTTGGGTTATGAAATAAATGTATTCAGGAGAACAAGGGAGTTTTGCTTGGAAAACTTGACAAAAGTTGGTTGTGATGAATGAATTTTATCGGATCTTATTTTGTGAACGTTCTGTAACTTATTGATGTATCTGGGTACGTGCATGAGTCCGATAGGAGGTGATCGTATGAAGGAGGTATAACAAGAGCACCAGAGGTATTCCCGGGTGCGTTTCTCACTTACCTACAAACTTTCAATGGCGGAAAACATGAAAAGAGGCTTAATTTAATCATGGGGTAGTCTAATTTAGTGAGGGACAGTTTCACAGAGAAATTCGGATTTAGATGAACTGGTAATATTGAGCTGCTAAGCTACTGTGTCATATGAAGTATACCTAGGTAACCTATGAAAGTTTAAGAAAGCCGGAGCAGCTATGGCACCAAAATAGAGTAGAAAAACATGAGAATCGTGTTTTCTATGAATATCTAAAAACCCCACTGACATGATCATATGTTAATTTGGGAATTATCCACTGCTGCGGAAGAGTTAGAAGATATATTCAGAGATGCATGCAACGCAGTTTGTATGATGTGAAAGATGGAATGGAAAAGAGATTTTAAAGCTAAAACCTAAAACTCCTCCTCTGTTCCGTGATATATTTATTTTAGCATCCTAAACTCAAAAAAGGCACAGGTTAGATATCGGAATGAGGAGGATGAAGAAGAATAAGTGCGGCGTTGCTTTTTAGGGCCAGCAATTCATACCTCCTCGAAACCTCTCCCTACCAATTGTGCTATCCTGACGTGTGATCTGATTCCTATTATTTATGACAACGAGAGGATTCATAACAAGCAAGACATCCAATATATCGCCACCCACCATGTAGCCATCGTATTCATTCATTGTCATCGAGACGAGGAAACAGCAAAAATCTTGGGCAAGGACAGAGTACATCGATGTACGTGAAAAGAGGGGCATAGCTGATTCACTTGATATCATAACATGGGGTTGAAACAACAGACGACACACCATATTGCATCTGAAGAATTCATTTCCGAAGAACTGGTCCGGGTCCGAAAGATAAACCAGTGAGATGGTATTACATGCTCACCCCCCTCCCCTCCCCTTTGTGACGCAGCCATCGATAAGAAGACGGATGCATTATCAATTCCACTTAGAATTTCTTCGTCAGATATGACGAGAATCACAATATTGACGTGTTTTCATCCATTTTCAAGAGCGCCTTTTATGACAAAGCTATTAATATTTGTTGTACCACACTGCAGCCGCGCCCCATTTGAGTTTTTTTCAGCAAAAGCTCAGAGATTGTGGAAATGCGCCAGAATATCCACAACTTAATGGTCACTGCAAGCGACGACCAGAAAGGCGGATCGAGATACACATTGTTCATGACGGGAAGTAGAAGCCACGTGTGAGCCAGCGATGCAGAAGGTGACATGGCGTAGACCCGAGTGTTTGTTCCTGCTGTCTCGTTTTGGAAACCCCCACATGTTCTATTCTAAGCGGTGAGACCGCCGGTCTTATAGCAGAGATGCAGTATTAATTGAGATCATCCAAAGTTGTTGATCTGTACTGCGTAAGCCGGAAGATGAGTCAGACGAAAGGTCGCCGATGCTCACTTTGATGATTATATGAGATGCTTTTGGAGGTCGGTTAACAGGTGGGCATAAGTCCGAGAATATGGATTTAGCTTGCATGGATAAATATATTATTCTGCATGCTTTGGAGAATATTCTCCAAGGAGAGATCCACGTGGCTGTAGCAAACGGGGATAAAATCCCCACATTGTCCGATAGGTTGGCTATCTCCATTGTTTGTAGATTATAAAGGAAAGCGTGGGGGTATCAGAAACTTTCGTTTCTGACATACATTGCATGGTAGGGATATAACGCTCTCTACGATTAGTGGGAATTCTGCCAGGAAATCCATCTATATTGTTTGTATAGTGCCAGTATCCATGCAATGGTTGGGCATTAAATTGGTTGCATGTAAGATTGAATATGATGTACATTGGAGAAGTATCCTCGGTCCGCGTTGCTCTTTCGGCTGGTAACCTCGGGGAAAGAGTTTGCTCCGGTAGTGCTAATGTATGGTTACACCAGATGCAGGGCTGAATGAGAATGCTGACATTTCACCGTATCCTCCCCTTGGCTAAGCGCGGTGCGAACCGACCATTGCGGATTGACATGCCGAGCATGCACCAATTGGAAGATATACATGCAGCCACACCAATAAGACACGCCACAGCCTTCTGTGCATAATAGGCGGATTCTAGATTCGTTATGGCGACCAATCGTATATTTTTGAAGGGCGAACATTAGACCGGCTGACTCTTGAAGTCCCTTCAGCAGGGGTAAGATTCCTTCCGTACCAGAGTGTCGGTATTTGATAGTAACCAATCATGAGATAGTCTAGAGTTACATCTGATGGCACGAATAAGAAAACCTCTTTTTTAATTTACTGTCGCCATACGAGAAGTGGATATGCTAGGGTATCTCAGAATGATAATAGTGTGACACTCAATTGGGACATGATTGAAGAAACTGGGAGGCTAGGGTAGAAGTGTCGTATTGCATGCTGGCACAAAGCAATTCCAGATACCTGGTACTGCCAATCAAATCTTTTTTTACCGGGAATCCATTGGTGAGGTATGGCCAGAAATCAGGTCGCATTTCTTGGGTTCTTTATCCAACTGTTAGTGCCGGAAGTGAGGGATCAAGCAGCGACCAATGAATTTGTTGAGCTGTAAGCTCCAACTTCAGCATGTGATCACTGGACTAACCTTAAGATTGCACACCAAGCGGTGCTTTGCATGCTTGTCTTG